CTGCCCAATCCGGTACTAAAAGACAAAACGCACAGACAGGGTGAGTTCACACTCCGAAGCAAACCAAAACTGTGACAGAAACAGAAAGAAACACTGATAACAAAAGATTTCACCGAAAAAGTTCATCCATAGTTAAATTACAAATGAAAAGGTGCGCCAGTCGCATTTTATTTTTTATTTCTAAAAGAAAATATTCAGTTGATAATGTCATAACACCATTACCAGAATCTAATAACACTAACAAAAAGTACAAGAAAAAAAATCCACAGTTTGTGATTCACTAATGACACCTAAAAAAGAGCCTCGAACTGTGCTTCACTAACTGCACCCTTGACTCAGTGTAATTTGCTGTTAGAAGTTATCACTGCAGCCACAGACAAGCATATGCCAAAAGCAGTTATGGTCACCTTCCTTTTAGTCAGCGATTACATATGTAGAGCTTAAGAGAAATAGAATCAAAGGAAACTCAGCAGGGCATCAAAGCACCCATGCTAACAGCACACTTATACACTTCTACACCTTTTGATGCACAAGCTACCTCAGTAATACGTGCGTGGTATTTTTTTTTTTGTGGATTTTAGCACTGTAGATCACCTCAGAGAAATGTTACAAGATGAAGCAGATAAATACACTCTCTTAATCCTTTAGCCTTAACATTTGAATTTTTAATTTTATAACTAATTAATAGCACATGCTATAGTATTATGTGGTCTGTGATTTCAGTCCGTTGCCAGGTGGCTGATAGGCAACATGAGGACATCCTAATATCTGATACAGATAAGAACCTTCAGGGCCTAAGATGTAGCTACGTACCAATTTGGGTTGCTCAACTCCTGCTCATGTGGGATTTTCTGGGCAACAACCAGACAGGGACTGTGTTCTAGTAAGATGACTTCAAGAATTTCTACAAAGCTAAAATTATAAAAGAGTAATTAAACTGTGACTGGAGAGACACTTTAGTCAATCACGAAGTAAAAATTATATGTTTATGCAACAATGAATTCCACCTGCTTATCTTGCAGTCAACAATCTTTGTGTATTTACTGCTTTTAATGTTACTCCTGATTTCACTGAAAGCAAACATAGAAAACAAAGTGAAGTCTCAGATGCTTCTTCTGCAATAATGGATCTCTGTACAAAGGTAAAAATTGCTGTTGTACGGCAAAGCAACTTCGGTTCTATAGAACATGTCTCTGCAGCACACGGGAACGTTTTCGATTAATCAAATAAGTGTAGCTATGCATAAATCCAAAGCATTGTTCTGTGTAAAAAGACAAAAAAGACAAAGACAAAAAAGAAAGACTGATTTTTAAAGAGGAGGTCAAGAGTTGAGTGTGAGAGAAAGACCGAAGAGCATCAAAGGATGGCAAATCAAAGAGATACAGAGGATATAGACAACTGTAATTCTAGAGTGATTATAATTAAATGAATAAGGAAACATAAAGGTGAGGCATAAACAGTCTGCTCACTTGCGTGTGCTCACTCTGAGCTCTTCACTAAGAGATACTAGCTTCACAAACGATTAAAAAGCAGGAAAGTTTGCCCTGGTAAATCAAATTAACCATATTTCTGTGGATTCAGCTGACCTTTTCCAGCCTCAGCTGTTAGCTAAGCTGTGATGTCCTGTCGAGCGAAAATGAGAGGTGCTTAGATAGTCGCCCAAACAAACTCCCAGCGGGCCTCTAAATTTGCTTTCTTTCTGTTTTTTTAAAAATAAACAGGCATAAAATAAAACGACATGAAACAGTTATATTAAACCCCTAAAGTTATTAGTGCATACCTTTCTGAAGAATGCAAAACCAAGCAGTCACAAGAGATTTCATCATGGAGGCTTTGCGTGTGTGGTTTTTAGAAAGTTAACTTCATCACTCGCGTGATGAATATTTAACACGGAAGATTTTCTAGTTTGTTATTTCCAGGCCGCCATATTTAGTCAAATACAGTACATATGTACTTACACACAATACCTCAAAGTAGCTGCATGGGGGTCAAATAATATACATACAACATATTATGTTAGTGTGAGTGTATATTTATGACTTAATTATCCCAATTAACTAATAGTCTGGTGAAAACATAAAATACAACACCGTGTTATTATGGCTTTACAAACATGTTAATTCCCTGAAACTATTAAGTCTAAGTGTCCTGCTGAGGAGAGGTGATGGTCATTGTTATGCTTAACAGAGCTTTCAGTGGCCAACAGAGCCTCAGGGACAAGAGTGTAATCATATGAAAAATAGACACTCCCACCAGAGCAGGACACATACACAGAGTAGGACACAGATGATGAATTAGTATAGCTTTTGATTAGTTCTGATTAAGTGTGGGCCACGAGGAAAGAAAAAAATCCTCCCTTTTGAATTTTAAACACTTGAAACCCTCATGTAATGCTATCGATTTAATGAAAAGAAGACTCTGTCTAAGATCATGATACATGATGTCGTCAACAGGGGCAGAAAGCCACATAAATATACGCAAAACATGTAGGCACATATGTAAGGCACACAATAAGCCTATTTTACATACATTTTCTGTTATGACACCAAAGCAACAATTAAATAGAGTGCTTTTGTTGAATGAAACCTGACATAATGTGTTTCCCGTGCTTACATTCCTTAGCTATATCACTTTTTTCCCCCATGCATTCATGCAATCTATGCATTAAAGGTCACAGGCACAGCTGCATCACCTTGGCTCTGCATCCTCTGCGGTGGACTAGTTTCACTGTGAAAGTAACACAATGACTCACATCCTTTGTGGCTGTTTGGTCCACACGCTGCTCTGGGCAATGATATGTATTTGTTGTTTCACACAGATAGAAACATGTGCATGCATGCACGTACATTACATCCGTGAACACACGCACACCATGCACACATACCAACTAACCATAAAGACAGTTGTCTAAGCACAACACTAGCAGAGTGGAGATCTGGAAACAGAAGCAGGCTACAGTCAAAAATTAAGACGTACGGGCATTCTTCCTCCTTCCACTGGTCAAATAAACGCCAAAATGAAGTGAATTTTATTTTAGCAAAAAAACAAAAAACAAAAAACCCCAAACCTCTGTATTCAACATAACACACACTGGCTCAGACGGATGGTTTTGGTTAAACAGTCTAACCTAGACTACAGTTTAAGATTCTTCATAAAAACTTGAAACGAGATGAAGCTAAGTTTAAAAAAGTATTCCAACCACTACTACTGCAGCACTGATAAACAGTAAGAAAAAAATGCCTTGTACTGCGTTGCTCTCACATTAAAGCCAAAACAGTAATAATTGTGTATAAATCATAGTTTCACAAAAAAAAAAAACTTCCTCTCCAACATCTCAATTTACAATAATACCACATTTCACATTTCAATTCAATTCACTTTCAATTTTCAAAGTACTGGTACCGCACAGTTTTTGGATTTCAGTGAGCCATGAGGAGAGACACGCCAAGCAATGAACCAAACACCATGTGACATTTAATTCATTTCATAACATACTATGGTCAATGCCTCAGATACAGCTCACGTAATTAGTGTTAAATGGACTGGCATTCAGACAGCACATTTCTAGTCTTGCTGACCACTCAGAACTCTTTTACACTACAAGTCATTTTCATACACATTAACACAGGATTGCATTTTATGACATTTTAAAGTCATAAAACACTGGTTCAACACTTGCTGAAGAGCAGCAGATATGTTGAGGTTGGTGGGATTGAACCGCCAACACTCCAACATCCTGATTAGTAGGCTATCTGCTCTTACCTCCCGAGTCACCATCGCTCATTTGGAGTTGGGTTTCTTGTTACCTACTGAAAGTTACAGCCAATATTAAATCTCTTTTTAGCTCTTGAAAATATGATTCTAACTGTTCATGCAGCTCAGCACTAACAGCTGCACGATGTCCATCAAATAGCCAAAGTTGCTTTCAACTGACAACAGTAATAATATAGTGAATGTAATGTAATGAAACAAACAAAAACTAAGCTGATAATAATCACAACACGTAACCATTTTAACAGCCACTTACATCTAAAAAGCACCCCTGCTGCTAAGCCCACTTTAGCAGATGAAGCCCACTTTAGCAGCAGCGGTGCAGAACCCACTAAAAAGTTCAGTGAAGTTCAGTGAAGTTCAGTGAGTTCAGTCTAGCACAGGGCTGTCATGTTGCAAGATTATGAAATTCATCAGGCATAGGACATTTTCTGCACTCACAGCATACCTTCAGGACATTTTGACATCAGGCTCAGTCCTGAAATAACCCGTGTACAGTGTAGTGCTCTGTACTGCACAACCTCTACTGAAGTCCTGAAATGCATAGCCAACCTTCAAGTGTTATGCAAGGGCAGGCCTATTCAATCTTATGTAAACAGCACTTAGGCATTTATTTCCTTGGTTATAACACTTAAACGAGTCAATGGTTTCATTTACTCTGCTTGTAATATGTTGACTTTCAGATAGCTCAGTCACAGACAATAAATCTGTCATGGACCATGTGTATACACCGTGATAGACTAGCTACCTGTCCAGGCTGTACCCTGGCTCTCACTCTATGACATCTGGGATAGACTCCAGCGCCGCCGCAACCCTGAATTGGTTAAGCAATGAGAAAACAGCTGACTAGATGGAATGTCCATGAGATCAGCCGTGACAATGGACACTATATGAATTTTTGGGCTATAGAATACTTTTTACAAAAATAAAAAGGCTTGTGTTAACTTATTATTACAGCATATACCCAAAGCTGAATCATCTAAAGTTATTAATTACATCAAGTTCTTACATCACTGTCAAGAAGCCATTACAGTAACATCCAGGGCAAAATGCATGTTATTTTTGCATTGTGTCAGTTTTGTCTCTCCTAATCTGAGTCATGGCCTGCTTTATTAATAAAAGCTCACCTCTTCAATGAAGTCTCAAAAGCTTCTAAAAACAGCCCTGGGCTGTGGGAGAGATCCAGCCTGATAAGCTAAGAGCTACTGTAAATAATGCATATGCACTCCATGGCTTTCCTGTGCGCCACACAAAAACCCAGTGAGGTGAGTAGTGTCAACTGAAAGACACTGCAGTGGCAGAGGACAAACTAAGGGGAGCGTCACAAAGATAATCGGAGTTTTGTGAGTAATGACAAACTAAAGTAAATGCAAGTGAGGTACTGTCACCTTGAAATAAAAGCTTTGAACACAAGTGTGACATCATCTTAATTCACTATTCGTTTAGACAAGACATGTCCTCGTCCATTCATTTTGACATTGATGAGTTGTAGTGGCCTTCTAAAAATATCAAGGACTAGCACACGTCATCTTGTCCTCTTTTGTGGGTCAGTGTGATGATTTTAAAATATTAAAAAAAAACACCCCACCATTAATGTCCTCAATCACGAAGAAGCCAAAAAGAGGCTACCCAGTACACCGAAAGGTTTGAACAGCAATAACAACAAAAAAAGAATAAAAAAGTCTTGTACTGATTAGTTCAGTAACCTGCTATTTTCTCCCTTTGGAGTAATCACTTCTGTGAAAGCTGTTCTGTTGAGTTACACTTGCTCTTTCCCTTTTCTGGAACTCTTCACAGCGTGATCAATCATTTAGCTTTATGACACAGCTGGCCAGTGCTTGCCCTGCCTTTATTTGATTTGTCCGATAACAAGGCACTCTGGTTTGTTGTTGCTCATTAATCAATAATAATAAACTAGAGTGTGTTGTCATCATCGCCCCCAATTATGAGGTCCTGGGCTAGTTCACTGAAACCCAAACTCACAAACTAAGATGACTACATTCTTACGGATGTGAGATGAAACAACTACGGCATCTTGCTTGAGTGCCTGTATGTGCAAACTGCATAATCATCCCTAAATTTCCATGTAAGGCAAAGTGTTGATGACATTGATGTTTAGGGTTGCAGAATTAATCTAATTTAATGTTGATTATTTGGCATTCTACAATTAAATAAACATGATCGACCAATATTGGAAATCTGCCAATAAAAAATCATCCATGTGCCATTTCCAAATGTCCCCTTGAAGTTTCCTGAATGTCGTATGAACACTACATCACAAAAACGGATAGTCAACAAATGATACCACTTAATTATGAATCATTATTAATTAATGTCTTTTGTCCCTTCTCCCTCCACTCAACCCAACCAGTTGTAGCATATTTTGTCCTGTTAAAAGGGAGTTTTTCCTTCCCACTGTTGCCAAAGTGCTCACTCAAAAGTGGCTGTCTGATTGTTGGGTTTCACTGTATTATTGTAGGGTTATTACCTTACAGTGTCCTCGGGATTCCCATATGCTTGTTTGCCATTCACCTAGGGACCATTTTTGATCCGAGGACACCACAAGGGTTACGGGGCTCGAGGTAACTGTTGTTGTGATTTGGCGCTATATAAACAAAACTGAATTGAACTGAAATTGAATAACATACCATCGACACGAAAACCAAATGTCTGGCATAGGAGACAGCGGAGACTTTGTCCCTTGAACTTGATCGACGTTATTGGAAAGTTAGTTGTGTTTGCACCACAAAGCAACATAACTAACTTGCTCAACTACCTGTAAACAGACCACAAAATGGCACTATAATGAAGGCCAAAACAAACAGTACAAAGGCTGCTAACATGAATCAATCCAACATCAGCTCAAGTGTCCATAAAAGCAAGCCTGTAGAGCACGTCAGTGTATCCATCAAGACGCACTGAAGTCACCGATGCAACTGCATTCCATATAGTGACCAATGAAGGAAAAATAGTCAACACAATGGGCAAAAGTTATGTTATATCTTAATGGATATATTATAACTTTTGAAAAGTAGCAATATCTGCACTGAACATAGTAGGAGACATATAGAAGTATATACAGCCATTGAATACTTTGCTATGAGTTTTATTTACATCCATAAGCTACAAAGAATGGCGTGACAGACATTATTTTGGTGGTTCTTTCATCTAATGTAAAAGAATAATAACACAAATATCTAGAGGGGAATCATTGCTGTGAAATAATAAAATCACTGTCATTGATATGAAGTTCTTAATTATAAAATATGAGGAGTCATTTAGCCCTAAAACATCTAGTGCTAATTTGCATTCAGCATGTCTGAGCTCACCCTCAGAAAAATACTATTATCACTTGATTATCACATAATTTCAAATATGCATTCTTCTTTTTTCCCTCCCTTTCCCCCCATCTTACTTATGCTTCACTTTTCTTCTGCCAACTTATTGCCTTAAAGAAATAACAAAAGCTTTGTCCAAAGTTGCAATATCTAAAGACGCCATAAACAGAAATCCCTCATTAACCAAAAAAGGAGTACTACTGCTACCAGTCCTAACGGCTTAGTGTCTAGACTCAGACATGCTTCTGCAGTGGCAATACTGATAAAACGGTTGATCCTTGTATCGCCTGTTGCCGAGAGCGATTGGGAGTGGACATCGGATAATGAGGGAGAAAGATAAAAGAGAAGAAGGGGAAAAAAGGGGAGGGATTATTTAAGTAAGGGACAGGGAAGGGGTAGGGAGACAGCAGAAAAGGAGAGAGGGGGTATGATTAGCAGTGTATGTCACTCTGTTTCCAGGCCTCTGCATACAGAGTAGAGGGAACTGAAATGAATGAGAGCAATAAATAACGGCCGACCAGAATGGATTGGGGAAAATATAGAATTATTAACTGTCTGAGAGATTATCCCCCTCCTGTGTGACAACATCTCTCATCAAAGACGTGGAGGTCTTGAGTACTTTGGCTCCGTTTGCACCCTCAGAACGACACAGTGATGAAAGATCTTGAACTTAGCTTTTAATTAAAGATAAGACTTAGGCTGTAGCACTTAAACAAAAGACCCACTGAATCAATTTAGCATGAAAGTTTAGTCTAATGTTGCTGTTAAGAATTAGTTTTAATTGTGCTAAAAAAAAATGTTCAGCAAAAGGTCAACAGTTGGATTTCGAGTATCTTCAAAGCTCTTGCAGATATAGCAGAAATAAATAAATAGCTTGATATTATGATTTTGATGTCCAGTCAATATCATCATTGGCACAAAATAATGTTACAGTATAAACCCTGATTCATTCATACCACACATATCAAATTATCAGATTAATAAAGCTGACAATTCATTCACAATTAACTTCATATACTCAATAAATGTAATTAAAGTATCTATATCCCTTACTATGTAATAAATACTCAGTCCACCCTTGCAATCCTGATTTTGTATGATGAAGCTTACAAAATGCTATTATCAAGCAGTTTACTTACCCAGACAGGATTTCATTTATTCCATGATTTGTTTAACTGTGATAAAACTCGGCACACGTTACAGTATCAAGCTCAGTATCAAGCTTGCTCTATTGAGTTGGCTTAAAGAGCCTGACAAATGAAACAAGTTTAAATCTACAGCGCACTTTACCATCGTTGCGTAATTAAGATAAATCCCATTATTCAATTGAACCACATAATACGCTAGTTTGAATTATACTTTGCTTTCCAAGCGCAGATTACTGGTTAATCTGATGGAGTGCAAATTATGTTTTGCAGAGAAAATGAAATTTGCCTTCACTTATGAGACACACGGTGATTTATCATTAGCTGAGTAAGATGTAGCCTTTCCAAACACCAGACTCCCATCAGATTGAGACAACAATAACTCGAGAAACTTCTCATTGATAACACAAGGTCGCACTCGTTAAAATGAGACGACTTTTTGTTACATTTAGAAATCTATAAATCTTTTAGATGTTTTTTTTTTTCCCCAGAGCAAGTAAAATAAATGACCTTCCACAGAGAGCTTCTGACATTAGCCAAATACTCCTCTAAATGAGTATGGAATCAGTGAGCACATAATTAACCTGCAGTTTAACAAGGCTGCTCCTCGGCAGCCTGTCAGCAAACCTCTCAATTTGAATGTCAATGTGAGCTAACAGTCTACACTAAAAGCTCTGATAATCACTGTGCTCCACTTGCACAGGGCCACGATAATGCCCTCTGGGAGTACTGTGGCAGCCAAAACTGAGAGACCATTTTGTGCTTGGCAGGTACTACAACACTGACAACTTATACGAGCAACTTTGAAAGTAGGGTTGTGAGCTAATTCGCTCAGTGTGTTTCTCTTAGCTGCAGGGTGAAAGAGCCTGTGAGGGGAAGTGTAAGTGTAAATAGTGACTGCATATTAAAGACCTGTGATTATGTAGGCTTCAATGTGGGTTACTCACTTTGTGAATACTATTGGGATCTCGACAAAAACGAAGAGTTTAGTGTAAGTCCCGTAATTAGTGATGCACTGGCTGCAGTTTTCTTGGCCGTTTTCCAATTCTTTCGTAAGCATGAGCTGCAGACATTTATTTTTCCCGATTCTAATTTTCAAAAGTATGTGCAAACAAAAATCAACTATTATTCAATTGCTCATAATCCCAACATTTTGTTTAAAATATGCTGGAATCCACAGAAGTCATTCACATTTGTCCGGTATTTCATTGCTCCATTTTTACACAGTAAACAAAAAAATTTTTTTTTCTTCCTTCTGTTTTTCAGCTTTGCAATTCAGCACATTTAGATAATTCTGCTCTGGGCTTCAAAATAGTTTAATTTAGTTTTCCAGTTTTCTTAACCCATAAGAGAAAATGTCATTGTACAGAAAAATCACTAAGACGACACATCTGGTACACACACACAGAAATACATACATCCACAATCCTATACTGCTGCCACACCCACGGGGCCATCACTTTGCCGTTTCATTACCTATCATGGCAAATATACACAAACAAACTCACATTGAGCGACAGACACATCCAGCCCTTCTTGCCCTGTTCTGTGCGCATTTAATCAACTGGGTGGCAGTGTGCACTGGTCTGAGCTGCACTCTCCAGATAAGATTATCCTTCAGCTGTAGGCCTGACAGTCAATAGGTTAGACAAGGGGCATAATTAGTGTTTGTGTGTGTGTATATGTGTATTAGGCCAAGGGAGAGAGGGTAAATGAACAACACAGATAAAGATGGTAAAGATAGAAATTGAGTGAATAAGAGAGAAAAGCACAAAGACAAGT